TGGCCAGTCCTGCGGGGTTGGCAGAGATCTCCGCAGGGTCCTCCCACCCACCCCAAGACCCTCCAGGACGTGGCTTTCGGGGGACGGGGTGCTGCCAGGAATGCCGTCCTGGTGACCCCTTGCCTTTCAGGCAGCGACCTGCAGAGCTCGCACTGCACGCTGGACGAGGCCTTTGAGGACCTGGACTGGGAAACGGAAAAGAGTCTGGAGGCCGTGGCCTGCAGCACTGAGGGCTTCCTGCCACCCAAGGTCATGGTGAGGCCCAGACCCCAGGGAGCCCCTCCAGGCTGTGCGGCCTCCTCGGGCTGCCTGGGGGCGGGGCTCCAGGAGGCGGAGTCGGGAGGCCCCGGGGCAGGTCTGGAAGCCACTGAGCTCCCCGCCCTCTTGCAGCTTATCTCCTCGAAGGTGCCCAAGGCCGAGTACATCCCCACCATCATCCGCCGGGATGACCCCTCCATCATCCCCATCCTCTACGTGAGTGCCCCTGCCCTGCCCTGCCCTCCTCCTGCATCCCTGCCGTTCAGACGCTCCTCTGTGCTTGTGCTGGGCCCTGTGATGCTCTCAGCTCAGCTCCACCCTCTGGTCCCAAGGGCTGGTGGGGTGTCGTCTTGAGGGCTCTGACGTGGCCTTGTGGCCCGTGTCTGTCCCCAGGACCATGAGCACGCGACATTCGAGGACATCCTGGGTATGTGTCCGGCCAACCCCCCCCCGTCTGCTGGTCCCGGGCTGGGTGGACACGCTGGGGTCCCCTGAGGCTGGGTGGGCCATGGTGCTCTCCTCTTCGCAGAGGAGATTGAGAAGAAGCTGAGCATCTACCACAAGGGTGCCAAGATCTGGAAGATGCTGATTTTCTGCCAGGTAGGGCTTGGCTGCTCCTGCCGGTAGCCAGCAGGGGACGCTGGATGTGTGCGTGTGCATGTGCATGCAGGGGGCACGAGCACACCTGGACACCCCTGGAGGCCTGACCAAGACCTCTTCCAGGGAGGCCCGGGGCACCTCTATCTGCTCAAGAACAAGGTGGCCACCTTTGCCAAAGTGGAGAAGGAGGAAGACATGATCCAGTGAGAGGCGGGGTGCCTGGGCAGGGAGGGCTGGAGGCAGAGGCTTGGCCCATGTGCCCCTCCCGCAGTGATGCCTCCTTGTGCAGCTGGGTTCCTGCTCCTCCCTTTCCCACCCCAGGGACCTGGCCTGGGGCCCCCTGGACCTGCCCATCCCCACCCCGGGGACTGAGGAACCTGACTGGGAGGCCCCGGACCTGCCTTGGGCACGGGTGACCTGGGCTGGAGGCCCCCCGCGACTGTCCCCCCCCAACCTGGGGACCGAGGGACCTGGCCTGGAGCCCCCCTGAGCCCGCCCCTCCCCTCCAGCTTCTGGAAGCGGCTGAGCCGCTTGATGAGCAAAGTGAACCCGGAGCCCAACGTCGTCCACATCATGGGCTGCTACATTCTGGGGAACCCCAACGGGGAGAAGGTATGGCGATGCATACTCAGCGGGCAGGGACCCCAGGCCCAGGGACAGGTGGGACCCCGTTTTTCCTGGCACACTCCTCCTCCTGCTCTTTCTTCCCGGGGAAAGCCCCTGTGCCCCAGCCTGGTCTGCAGGAGCCTGGGGGGGGGCCCTGCTGCCGTCTCCCGCTCCGCCCTCCCCTCCGGACTCACGGCCCGCTGTCGTTCAGCTGTTCCAGAACCTCAGGACCCTCATGACTCCGTACAGGGTCACCTTCGAGTCCCCCCTGGAGCTGTCGGCCCAAGGTGGGTTAGCACAGTGGGCTACCGCTCTGGGGCCAGGCAGGCCGGCCATGGGGGCCACTGGCCTGAGCCTCCTGGCCTCGCCCTCTCCTGCCCAGGGAAGCAGATGATCGAGACCTACTTTGACTTCCGGCTGTACCGTCTGTGGAAGAGCCGCCAGCACTCGAAGCTGCTGGACTTGGACGACGTCCTGTGAGCGGCACGGGCCGCCGTCTGCCACCACGGACCGGGGGACTCGGGGCTGGGCTGCCTCGTGCCACTCAGGGCTGCGCGGCCCTGGTCCCGCCCAGACCCGCTTCAGGGCACCCTCGGACGTTGCTCAGGTCTCCCGTGGGGTCTGGTCCTTGCTGCACCCACGGGCCGCAGGCTGCCCCCGGCCCGGCGCTGCCCTGCTCAAGCCCGCCCAGAGGCTGCAGCGCTGGGAATCCCTCCCCGGGGTCCATGGAAATAAGTGCAATTTTCTACACCCCCGAGACAATTCAAAGGGAAGCAGCATTCCTAGTTCCTAGCTAGGCCTGTGCTGTTAGTTGTGGCACAGGCAGCCGGCCCAGCGTCCAGTGTGTGTCCGGGCCCCCTGCACCCCGCTCGTCCCTGCCGTATTATCACCAGCACCGGGGCGGCCCGTCTGTGTGGGCTGGCGTCGCCGGGCGGCCCGGCTGGCTCTGCCTCCACGGGCTGAGTCTCTGCTAGTCTGTGCTTTCACTTCTCTCCTCTTGCCGCGCCCCACCCCCGCTTACCCTGGGACAGGGCTGGGCCGCAGGAGGGAAGGGCAAAGCCTCCCATCCTGGCGGAGGCCGCCCCAGCAGAGCCCACCCCAGCCCCTCATGCCCACCCGCTCCTGTCGCTGCCGCCAAGTCGGCTCTCACTGGCTGCCGTGGTCTGGAGCCCTGTCCCCCGCCGGGGCCTGAGGCTTGGCGGGGGCTGCTGGGGCTGGGGCTGGGCCCCGGATGGCGAGGT